ACGTCGGTGGGTACAAATCCTAAATGATTTCGACCATTTGATTCTGATATAAGGCCAAATGCAAACATTTTTAAATCTTACAAGTCAGAGGATTCACTTAAAAATCCGATACGTTTCGGCCCAAAACTGAGCCATTTTCAGTCGGAAGAATAAAAACAAAATATAAAAATTCCAAATAGAAACCTGCAGACTACCCCTTCCACATTGCACAGGCATGCGCCATTTCAAGTTGATTCGATGGACGCCATATTTCGTGTCAGAACGGCATGCGATATATCGCATCAATTGGTTCCATTGTCCTTTCGGCAAAAGTTGAGATCGCAATTCTGTTGTCAGGAGACTAAAGCACTCGCTTACCGATTTTAACAAAGAAATTCAACGTAATAAAGGCGTGGTTTTTTCAGAGAGAAAATATCGCATTTGATACTGATATCTAAACTGCACTCGAATGCGATATTTTCTCTCTAAAAAAAACCACGCCTTTATTACGTTGAATTTCTTTGTTAAAATTGGTAAATGAGTGCATTAGTCTCCTGACAACAAAATTGAGATCTCAAAATTGGAGAAAAATGACGAGTAGCTGAAAAAAGGAACCAATTGATGCGATATATCACATGCCGTTCTGACACAAAATATCGTCACCTTCCGGGCAAAGTATCACAAGCGCCATGCGACGTATAAAAATTTCCGCCGCAATTTTATTTCTTTCCTGAGAAATTGTTGGTTGAATCTGTTTGGAAATTTCACTAAATTTTATCGGCAGCACAAAGAAAATTCAGTGAAATTTTCGGACAGCCCTGTTGAACAATTTCTCTGTAAAGAAATAAAATGGCGGCGAAAAATTTTTAAACGTCGCATGGCGCTTGTGATACTTTGCCTGGAAGGTGACGATATGGCGTCCATCGAATCACCTTAACGCCAAATTAATATTTCTCATGCTTTCATACAGTAGACGGTCTACATCTGCGGTCTACTTTTCTCTCGGGGATGTTCTGGACTTTGACCCTCCAGGTCGGAATCGGCGCCGCATGTGCGACCGTCACCTCACGCGCGGCATTTTTGAGACCCTCCACGCCGCGCGCCGTGCTCGGGTGCCGCGGAGGCTGCCTCGCACTGCGCGCCCTCCGTTGTGCGGACAAGGACCACCTCATTAGCAGACGACACCTGGGTGTCATTTATAGCCTATTTCGGCGGGGCTACAAGAATTAACACCGCCTTGTTAGCACCTCGGTCGCGTCGCGGTGGGGCCTCGAACAAATTTCCCCCGGGAAGACTCCGCGAACAAAAGGCGAAGATCTCGAGAAACAGATCAAAGGCCGCCAAGAGTGATTTATGGAAAGTTGCTGGCCACCACGGTGAAAGAAGATAAGCGACAGGAACTAACAGCGAGCTCTGCTTGGCGCTTGTTACGACCCGACCACAATTGGATTGCATTCAGCGGGGAATCAACTTTCGTGGGAAAAGAGTGTCTGCTCCTTCCTTGGTGCTTGCCAGAATTCCCCAGGAAACGACGTGAAATTCCTCCTGCGGGCTGATTGTGTGAATTGATGGACAAAGTGATAGACAGAAAAGACAGAGGGAGTATGGAGCGATCGTATTGGTTGAAACGCTTGGTTCCTATAGACTATTAGGGAGAAAACTACTAACTATAGGGTCTCTCGTGGGTTGCCGTTATAACGAAACATACTTCATTATATATTTCACCACCAACGTTTATTTTAACGTGCATATTCATGGAGACTTAAACGCAGGAGTAGAAAAGTAGAAAAACATCTTCACATGTTGTTACCAGGTAGAAACACCATAGAAACTTTGTCTTCTTCATTGTATCTTTTTCTACTTCTCCAACCTATTGTTTTCCAAAAGAGTTGGTTCCTTCTTGCAAAATTCGATCCAAATGACAAGAACGTTTTCTGGACATTCGGTATGAAAAGGCTGCCTTTGAGGAAATTCCGCTTAAATCATTATTTTAATAGACATTCATAAAAATTTGCCTCTGAAAACAGAGCTGGAGTAGAAAATAGGGTTTCTTTTCTCGTGCGCGTCCTGAAATTGAAATTCGGAGCAACCTGCGCATTGACGTGGCGTGCCTTGCGATACATCGATCGATATGCCATTTAAACCTATGGGAAAGTATCGATAAACTGGGTGTTTTCAACGAGCACCTTATCAATCCATTCCTAATCACACACTGGAAAAAAATCACATTGGATCTGGAGTCCAGACTCTTAAAAACATCGACAAGAAAAAATAATCTTGATTCAATCGGATTTTTGCCTAAATAAAGAACCAAACCTCTTAATTTGAGCGGATTTCCTTTTAATTTAAGCTTAAATCTGATTGAATCAAGAGTATTTTTTCTTGTCAATGTTTTCAAGAGTCTGGACTCTAGATTCAATGTGTTTTTTTTTCCAGTGCAACTTCTATTGGGGTGATATCGATAGTCGATTCCTCACGCCTTGCCACTGGACGTGCGCACTCGAGAAATCGGGGCCGGAGCAGCGATTAAGACGTATCGTCTCTCGGATCGAATCGACAGCGAAACACCCCCCCCCCCCTCCACCTGTGGGGAGGGGGGGGGTGTAATAGATGAGGAAGCTCAATGGGACGAGCGCGAGATGGGAAGACGCGTAAATCAGCGATGAATTAGCACGCGTTTAACGGTGTGATAGGATTACACGGTAGGATCGGGTATCCCCTCATTTTCGGGAATAAATGCTCGATAAGTGAACACGCTCTAATCGTCGTGAAATTATCCATTATTCGGAGGGACTCGCTTCACGCCACGTTGGTATGGCTGATACCGCCTGCAGTGCCTCCAAATTCGAGGTGCCTCATACTCGTTCGAAGTCGCACTGTTCTGTTGGAATTCGAGGGTGTGAAAGGGGATCATACACCGAGAAAAAAATTCGGTCAAATGAGCCGTAGTACCAGAGACAAGAGACCCTCTACTGGTATCTTGGCAATGAGGTGGAAGCTTTTACTTTCGGGACTTCGACATTCAACTGTTGACCTACCTGGGTGGATGGTTAACAACGCGATGGAAGATTCGTTTTGCAAACAAATCAAAGTTTGGGGAGCTTGTTTGGCTTATGATGTTAACCGAAGCTCATCATTCACCGAGTGGGTAGGTCAACAGCCGAAGAAAGGGTGATGACTGTGGCCTTCCATAATTGCCCATAAGAAAATGTTGAATCCCTGAAAGTAAAAGCTTCCACCCGTCGCCAAGAGGTCAGTGGAGGATCTCTTGCCTCTGCGTAGTGCGGTACTTCGCATAAATATCGGTCGTACTGTTCGATTGATGTGGCCGTACTGCAACTTTACGTCGATCCGTGTAAACGAGCTCCACAAAAAGTTAGGTTAAAAATACACTTGAAACACTTTTTGACTTCTTTTTGAGGTAAGGATAGTTGGACACAACTTCGGTGACTTAAACGCACGGTTATAAACGCGCCTCAAAATTATTTAGTTCTAACCTAGCTGCGAATCGATTGTCGAATCGTTACCAAACGACATTGATCAATTGATAGCATTGCTAAAATAGAAATGTATCGATCGAGGATCAAAATCAGTCGATAACATTTCCACAATCGGCTCCCAGGGCTCATTAATACCGAATGACTAAGGTTCAAGACATCAAATTATTCTTTGGATGCTTTCGAAAAAGAGAATAATTTGATGTTGTCAGACTTCACTCAGTTGGTATGAGTGGGGCCTGCGGGTCGATTTTTGAATCATTATTGAATGATCGTGATCCTCAGTCGATAGATTCCTACATCAGCAGTGTTATCAATCGATCAATGTCGTTCGATAACGATTTAACAATCGATTCGCAGGCAGGTTGTGGCTAAATAATTTTGGAGCACGTTTTTAACCGTGCGTTTAAGTCTCCAAAGTTGTGTTCAGCTACCATTGCCTCAAACAGAAGCATTAACGTGGCGTGCACTGCAATATATCGATTGACCTGCCATTTAATCTTATAGAAACGCCTTAATAATCGATTTTGTACCATAGCTGCAAATGGGGGAGAAAGCGATAATCATCATTCACGCCTCGCCACTGAAATCGTTTGCTCATACTCTTTCACTCATTATTGAAGCGACAATTTGGATTGTTATTTGACTGAAAATTTATTTCTTGAGGTTTCAATAAACATGAGCACCTTTCAAAAAGAATTTAAGATGCAACTCAAATTCTGACCTAAATCTGCATATAGGAGCAAAGTTTCAGCTAGACGACTCATTTACCAAAAACTTTTACTATGGCTGCATTTTTTACTCCAGTTTTCCTGACGGTATGATTTAGGGTTCAATTACAGATACTTGGTCATCAAAAGTAAATCACCGTAAAATGTCAGTGAGCATTTCTGTTACTCCTATTTATCTGTCAAATGTAGGCCAAAAAAGTATGTTTGAGTCTGTTGCCAGGAGCAAAACAGCAATCTTGTCTGTAAAAAAAAAATGGGAGGAGAGACCCTTGATGGCCAAATAGCCTGTTTCTAACTTATTTTATCTTTGGGCAGAGGAGATAACGATTACTAAAAAGAACCAGATAAATGAGAGGAATTAATTTTTTCTGTATTTTAAGAAAAAATATATAAATTTTTTATAATATAAACATATAATCTCGTCAACATATTTACACACATATTATACCAAAATAGAAATGAACAATTTCAAAAGTTTACATAATTTCTTTACATTTTAATCTATACAGAAATCAATGGAAGACTGTTGATTTGTTGCATAAGGCACTTGGAATACCCAATTCTTTCTTAAATGTTAAAACTTTACAAAATGTACAGTCCTTAAAGACACATGTAAACAGATTTTAACTACCTATTTACCGACGAGAGTAAAGGAGAGTTTAGAAAAATAAACTAAATAAAAACATCGATCAAATAGGGGTAATCACAAAAAAGGCGAAAGACGACCAAGAAGTACAGGGTTGGAATTTCAAAAGTTATATTGAACGAATCGATGGGGGAAGAGAGAGAGAGATAAACACTGAAATTGCAAAATTAAATACTTAGTTATGGTACATGTTAAACCCGTTTCATCGAACAAGCATCAGTGGCGTTACTACAATAACTCACTCTTCTGCCCCACTCTCAACTAACACAGACTCAGACGTGTGAATAAGTCGTTCTATATGGAACATGACAAATAAATAATTAACGCACAGCGAAAAAACAGTTACGCAACAGTTGTTTTAAATTACAGGGTTCGTTTTAGTTTGATAATTTTAATTAAATATTCGGACCATCTTCAAAAACAAGTTTTGAGTATTGAATGAGGAATAAAAGTGCGAGTTTTCGTGATTTGTAAACATCAGAGGATAGGTATAGGTATTTATCTTCACAATTATTTTGATAGAGAACTTTAGCGATGAAGACGTAAGTGACAAGAGACTGAATTGAAATTACTAGCAAAGTAGAATTTTGGTGAAATTTTCGTTTTTACTTTGTAAAGGGAAACTTTCGTCTGTTTAATTAACTGTATCTATTTTGAAATGGGCATATGCAAGATGGAGATAATATGTATGAATAGACAAAATTTATTGCATTCGTCAAAACAAAATGAACATGGCAAAATGGTAGAGAGCATAAATCAAAATCTATTGAAAAAAACAAAAAATTATACAAGACAGTCTTAAATTCGAAGGAAACAAAAAAACTGAATAAATGAATGCCAGTTATCAACTGTTTAATATCATATCACTGAAAAAGTTTGCAGTTTTAATTTTTACTAGGTACAAGAACCTAAAGCATGTTTAATTACACGGATTTTTCCCAGAAAAAAAAAATTAATAGGAGGATACTCCCGTATCAGCTGTAAATACAGACCACTTGAATTAATTACTTGCAAATAAAATAGCAAAGTATTTCATCTATGCAGCATTCTGGCAAACTATGAATTTTGGCCAAGAATACTTTTCCATAACCAGAGTCATTAGAGTGAACAAAGGCACGTTGAGAGCACTTTACATACCAAATATTTACCATATGATGATAACATTGAAATTCCATCATAAATTGTACAATTTATTGCAGAAGATAAGACACATTAGAGCACCATTCGAAAAGAAATTCTAACATCGTAGGTATTTACACTATTTACTCGTTTTAAGACGTAACTTAGAATTGCTCGGTTTGAAAAAGTTTGAGAAAAATATATTGCTTCTGAAAGAATCTTCTTCCAGATAGAAAGTGTATGCTGTAGGAATTGCACTAACAGCGCTGGTTTCTAGAACTGGATCGGTTCCCAAATCATATTGTTATTCAACAGAAATACAAAAAAAAGAGAGGTAATTTTTAGCACAATTCAGCAACCTCCAGTAATTGAAGCGGTTAACACGCCAATATAATGCGAAAAAAAATGAATGAACGATACTCTTATTGCAAAAGAAAAAATAATATTATGATACGAGAATCAGATTAGTTAATAGCACAACATCTATGTTCAAAAAATCAATGGAAAGCACAAAAGAAATTTCTTTCGTGCATGAACTTAATCTGGCAGTATGGAGCCACCATTATTGGCTCACTTTAGAAACAACACACCTGCGATAAGTTTCCTAGAGCAGATGGGTACTTCTAAAGATGAGGGAGAAATAATAGCTCCTTACTGAATAGTGCAATCCAAATAATCCTCGGATGTAACTCAAACAATTATTTAGACTACATTTTGCAATTAGGAACCATAATTTCTGGCTCAGTTTAGAAACAACGAATCTATCATCAGTTTCCTTATGCACATGCGTGTTTTTATAGATAAACCAGAAATTATAGTTCCGAATTGCAAAATGTAGTCCATCTGAACCAATTGTTATTTTAGCAAAATAGTCAGTCAATTGAACAGGATAGTAAACATTTTGTATGATTATGATTCACGTGTTAGGTTCGCATCGCTCGATCCGTCCTAGAAACCGCGTATCAAATCGATAACATTTTGGATTCGCTAGACACATTAAAGTTTGAGGTCAAAAGAAATTATTTTCAAAAAAAAAAAATTGTAAAATTAAGAGACTAAAGAGACAAGTCACCACGGCCTCCAGGGCTGGTCCTCGTCCATGCTCTCTATGGACTCCCTCTTGATGACGAGACTAAGGGGCTTATGACTAGGCGGACTGTAGCACCTCGTCGGGGACATGGTGCCGTAACTGCTGCTCCCGCTCGGGCTCAGCGGGCTGGGGTAGCTTCCGTTCGACTGGAGACTCACGGGCGACGTCGCCGCGTCGTTCGAGAACGGCAGCGTCTGCGAGGAAGGAATGTTCACCGACAGCCTGTCGAAGGACGTAGGGGAGGTCCGACTTAGATTCGTTGGGGAACTACTCTGGGGTTTCTCAAGTTTATAAGGCGACATTCGGTGGGAGGACTTGAGGTTGCTCTTCTCGACGAACTTGAGGTGGTCGGTGGGCTCCGGGTCGGGGTCGGCGAAGTAGTTGGTCGACGACACCTCGTAGCCCTTGGGTATCCTCTCCGAGGGGGCGGGTTTGGGGAGCAGGAGGGGAGGCGGCGACGAGGAGGTGGAGGAAGGCGTGGGGGAGGAGGACTTGGACTGGGGGATGGGGAAATTCGTGGGGAGGATGAGCGCGATGTCGCCGTTGGGGAGCCGCGTGGGCACGAGCTGGAGGCTCCCGCTGTTGGTGGTGCTGAGGAAGATGCCGCTGTTCTGGTGGTTGGTGGGCTGGTTGATGGTGAGCGAGGCGTCCTTGAGCGTCGTCGGGAGGATGTGGAGCTGGACGTTGGACGCGTCCTGAGCGGGGCTCGTCGAGCCGAGGAGGGTGCTGTTGAGGCAGTTGGCGAGGTGCTGGAGGAGGCGGCGCCGGACCGGGGGGTCCAGCCCCGGGAACCGACCCACCTCGCCGGCGCACTCGTTGAACCCGGCGCGGAACTTGTTCATGACCAGCGGGTCCGCCGCCAGGGAGAGCGCCACTTGCTGCCGCTGCATTTGTTCCAGGTGCTTCACCGTCATCTCCAGGATGTCGGCCTTCTCCAGCTTCGAGTGTCTTGCCGGCTGTGAACAGAACACACAAATAATTAGCCATTTTTAAAGGATCAGCGAGTTTCATAGAAGTGAAATGAGATCATGGTTTCTAAGATTGGACGTATTTCTGCTCAACAGAGCCACAGACAGGTAAGAACATTTTTGAAGAATCAGCGAGTTTCATAGAAGTGAAATGAAATCATGGTGTCTGGAATTAGACATATTTCTGCTCAACAGAACCACGGACAAAAGGGGTGTGCTCGTCAGTCGAGGGTCGCAAAAATAAATGGGAACTATAAGGCACCAGTGACGTCAGTGGCGACGACAAGAGCGACGATACCCGGCAACGTCAGCAAGAAGTACGTCCAATTTTTCGATTCCTAGACGAAGGAACGCAACTGCATTCAGAGGTTGCCAAATTGATTCGAAAAATGAATTGTTTACAAGAATCCAAGAACCTAAGCAATTTTTGTCGAAAATTCGTCTGATTTTAGCATGAGATCACAGGAAAAATCAGACGAGTTTTCAGTAGAAATGCCCGACATTTTCTCGTAAAAATTCAAAATGCGTCGGGATATTTGGCAACGCTGAAATGAAGTTACGTTCTTTGGTGAGGGAAACAACAATTAATTATCCCTGATATTTCCCTAATTACCGGGGTATAAAGATCTAGTGAAAACCCTGGGCGTCAATTTAATTTATATAATGATTAAACTGAGTGAATAAATTGGCGAATAATCTATTGAGGGCACTCTCAGATTAGACGGATTCCGGAAGTTAGGAGAGCAATCACCGAAAAAATGTTGAATACTTTGCAGATTCTCTGTCATTTTCCCTAACTATGTATACGAACAATTAAGAGGCTTTCTTCAAGACTCAAACACCTGGGGAGGAGGGGTGTACTGTATATTCTTATAGGATGTTCCAGCAGCGGCATATCATGAACATTTAATGACTGCGATTATTACGAAGGGGTATTTAAAATCTGGAACGATAGCTTCGAAGTTGGACTAGGCCGAGCGAGGGGCAAAAGTCCCCAAATGGATTATTATGTAAGACATTGAAACGGGACAGACACGAAGGTGAAAAGGGCGTGAGAAAAGAAGCTGGCAAAAACTGGCCGGGTGCCAGGAGACCGTCGTGGTTTATGCCTCACGCAATGTTGACATCTGACTCGGCGCTTTTGATGATTTTAACGATGCGATAAGATGCAACACCCCACGCAGTGAATGCCGTTTTCTCTCATTCTCAAAAGCTGGTTTCTTCTCAATCCAAAGCAATTGATTTTCCTCCATTATGTCTCCTTTACCATGGAGAGCAGATCTCAAAAAAAATCTTTCTAATGGTCGTGGGCAGAGTTCCTCGTGAGATCGTTCGACGATACATTTTTTCAACTTTCGACACAACAAACCTTGTGCTTCTTTTTATTTTTTTTAGTTTTGAAGAGCAAACTTTCACATGTCGAACTTTCCATCTCCAAGAAGGGTGAATTTCAATGGGTTTTAAATTTGGCGGTAACAACGAACTATCATACATCATTTTCAATCATGAGTGAGAAATTTGCATTCAAATCAAAATAACTAAGCATCGCCTTTTCCCTCAATTTTAATTTTGAAAAATGACGGAAATTCCCCTTTGAGTCAAGTTCCGAATGTGTTTCAACACCTAAACTACTTAATTGGGGAAAAACGAAAATACTTACGTCTTTTTTCATTGCGTCCAAAATGAGAGTCTTCAGCTCGTTCAAACAGTTATTGATTCGAGCACGTCTCCGTTTCTCCATTATCGGTTTATTACTCTGCAACAAACAAAATTAAAATTAGGTTAGATTGGTAGGAAGATTGGACGACACTTGCGTGCTTTATCAAACATCATTCATCATGAAACGGTACAAGGTATCAACTAAGATTGTAGTCTGATAGTTAGTCAAATGAAGAAGTAAGAAATACCTAATTTAACTTCATTTAGCAATCAGTCACTATTCTAAACAATTACGAACTCATTTGTAAAAGCATTTATCTGCAGAGTAAAAACATTGGGAAATATGTTGTGTTTTAGAGAAGCCAAATTTAAAAATAGTAGTATTCCTAACTGCAAAAAGTCGTTAGTTGAAAACTGAAAATTGCTGGCTTGGATTCACATATTTTCAATGTTTCATCAGGATTCAATTTTTACTACAAACAACGGTCCCACGCCTTCACCTTCTCGAAAACAACCCTCTTTTTAGAGCCGCAGGGTGATGGTTATGTTTTCTAACAACTGAAAGGTCGTATGATTAAAACAAATAAAAAACATAATGAAAAAACGAGGAAAAATAGTCAATTGCATTTTTTTCCACATTTTTTTATCAGTTCATGAAAAATTTCCACTATGCCATAATAAAAAAAATCCACTCTTTTCATACGGTTCAAGCGGCAGCATATTTCAAAACGAGCGGGATGAGCTAATTAGTCGTGGAACTCGAAAAAAAGTGATGCTTCATAGACAATATTAGGGATTTTACTGTCACGGTTCAAAACGGGAACTGCGTTGAGTTTCCTTTTACAAGAAATATATTTACGGGAGGCGATTATTCTGAAATGCAAAGAATTGAGGCATTTTTTTATTAATGCTATTTTTTCATCAACAAACCAAAAATCATTATTTCCCGATTTCGCGTGAGAATTGCCATTTGGTCTTTATCAATAAAATTTCATGAGGTAAATTTTCGAAAAACCCCAAAGATGATTGAAGAACTTGACGTTAAAATAAGTAAATATCTGTCTAACTCAAAGAAAACGAAATCATTTACTGAGAAATCCTTTCTACGAATGAATGATGGAATGAGCTTTCTCATGACTGCATTAAGGCAACTAGGTGGTACCTATTCACATAAATAAAACTTTTATAAAAAAAATAAGAATTTCTCATGATTAATTTGTATTAAACTATTAATTGTTCCTATTTCTTGCTTTCTGCTTTTTTAAAAAAAAATCTTGCTTAACCTTTTTATTTGTAAAAAAATTTAACTTCAAGTTTCCCTCTTCTTACTTCTAAACAAAGACGCACATAAAAAAGGCAATCTTTTTATATTTTAAAACTCCCTATAATTTTCCCCTTCTTTTCTAATTTTATTACTTTTCAGCACGACACGCGCTAGGGTTTATCACGAGTGACTGCACCGGCCTTGGTCGGTCGCGAACAACAGAGCGTGGCACATCGAGGTTAGATTTGACAGGTTTGCCTCTTTACGTTTAAAAGAAAAGAAAAAAAATTATCTCGAGTACATTACAGTATCTTCGGAAACGGGATTTTAGAGACAATGTGGCGGCGATTCATTCGCGTGCCTCGTGCCATACCGCGGCGCACAATAAGCACTGCTCGAAACCACACGTAAGAAAGTCATTGCGATGACGCTGATACAGCCTACATCGGCCGCATTTAACGCTCAACAAAGAACATCTTCCGTCCATCAGAGTCCGGTTTCATGAAAAACGTCCAGTTTCATTAATCCTGCTTGAGGCACGACAAAAAATGTTCCTATTTTGGTCGGCATGGGACAAGATGACTATCTACCCCCGGGGAACATGAACATTTGAAGAAATTAGAATTTCTTGAGGTTTTTCTTGAAAATACAGAATCTTGAAGAACTTTAAGAAAAAACGAGTGGCGAATTTTCCAACATTGCAATCGGAGGAATACATTCCCCCGTCTATCTATTGTTTTCTGCGTTAAATTCACCGCGAACTGTACCAAAATCAACACAAAATTTGTGTTGGTTTGTGTTTCACCCCCTATATTAATCAAAAGTGTCACAAGAACACAAATATGTTCATCAGTGCGCATACTTTCTCAAAAACCAAAAAAAAATGTTTCATCAAAAATTTTCGAGCGAGGTCTTTCAAAATTGAAAAAAAAACACGAGGTCACTGCTGAAGGGAAGGTTCCGTTGCGATCAGAGAGTCGTGCGTAATTCCCCGACATTTCAGGAGCTTTTTACCCATTAGAAACCTGAAATTCCCCTGTTAGTCAAAATGTCTGTAAAATCCAGACATCGATCCATCTTCTGAAAATGCGGTACTACATTTGGATTGCATTTTGCAAAAAGGAACCACTAGCATTGCAATGTTGCTAAGATTGTGCAACTTCTGTCTTGGAGGAAAAACCCGATTATCCATTAATAGTTTCTATTTTACTCGCTAAAAACTGTAAATTTAAGACGAAAATTACCATCTAAATTTCATAGTTTTTCACGATTTCCGCAATTTTTTTGCTAAAGATGAAGTTGCACAATCTTAGCATCACTGCAATGCTAGTGGTTCCTCTTTGCAAAATGCAATCCATTTTACGAGCGGGAAAAAAATTTCGTGCAGGGAAATTTTTTTCCGAAATTGCGGCAACGGCGCGGGGCACTTCCGGGGAGATAACCGCGGCTGCGGTGGGGCGCTGGGCGCCCCCCCCCCCCTCTGGGTCCCGGGTGCGCCACTTGGCAGACTCACGATCTGTGACTGGCTCAAGGTCGCCCTCCGTCACCCATCGGCAGTCGCTCGCGCGCGTCGTGTCCCCTGGGCGTCGCGACGCGGCCACCCGCGCATCCGCGACCGTGAACCGACCCAGCCGAGATCAACGCACCCGATACCGTCAAGACGTGCGCCGCGACGCCTGCGCTTGCGTCGCGTCGTCGTGCCATCGCGACGCAGCGCGCAACGATAATAAACCAGCTCCCCAACGATAATAAACCAGCACGATTTTCCTGATTATGAGTTCTAAATTTGGTATTCGTGGTAAAGTATTCTTCCTCCAAATTTTCAGAAAAACATCACAAAAATAAATAAGAATAAAATAAATAACAAATAAACATGGAGTTCACAAAATTTGCGACGATCTGGGGGAAGAGGTCCGGTGGGGAAAAAAGCCCATCTAGATTTTGCCTGTTCCAACCCCTACGTTTACAATAAACACACTAATAAAAATATTTGTCTTCCTGTGTTACTTTTGGTTTTGAAAGACCTCGCGCGGAAATTTTTTATGAACATTTTCTTTTGTGAGAGGGTCTGCACACTGATGAACATACTTGGGTTCTTGTGTTACTATTGGTTAAAATTGAAAGTGGAACAGAATTGCGGTGAATTTAGCGCCGGAAAAATGGAGAGACTGGAAGAATACTCCTCCAATTGCGAAATGGGAAACACAGTGATACGTGGACGTGAGCCAAACGGAACTAAGCGGCATAGGGGGAAGAAGGGAAATGCAGGTCGGATTGGTGGGTGTAGTCCGGCCACGACCTAATTCCGTCCTGTGCTCACAATGATTTTCCATGGCGCTTAGTTCCGTTTGACAAAAAGCGCTATCCGGGATTCTAAAATCCTCAGAAGGCACTTTAATTGGCGCTTAGGTCCGTATGGTAGAAATACGTCGTATCAATGAAACAGATACTTAGTGAATGAAAATGGTTAGTTCCAGAGCACGACTTAGGACGATTCATTAGACAAAACATCACAAATTTAAAGAGAAAAGAATGAAAAGCTGCAATATAAAACAACAGGGTCCCTTTTTAACGACAGATCATCAAGTGGCAAAGTAGAGTGTCTCAGCTTCAGCCTGCCCCTCAGTTTAACAACCCCTATTATGGTGTACGAGAAATTGCCTAATGGGCGCATTGCAGGCGGTTTATACGGGTCATCAGTTCCAACGGCTTTCGTCGAGAACACCGGTCAGACACCTTGAATTTTCAATGACACTCTCGTTCACTCGAAATTTGAGCATAACGAGGTGGCACTGTGAGCAAGGAAAATCTCAGAATTTTGCATAAAGTATTTAAACTTGAAACTCGAAGCGGTAATCAGTTAACGACATGAAAAGTGAGTTCCTTTCTTCTTACACCGAAGTACACCGTTCCTACGTAATATACAGTTGTTTGAATTTTTAAAAGTAAGAAAGAATATTAAACGAGCGTGGGAATACATTTCATGCTGATATGATAAAATTCCATGAAAAATGGAATGAACTCATTGTTTAAAAAAGTCTCTGGGAATTTTCGCTGTCTCGGGGCTGAGAGGAAAAATTTGACCCGTTAAGCGGGAGAAAATAAAGAAAGCGTATTGAAAAAAAGGTTGAGGTGAACTTTAAATAATTCCTAAACGAATGAGCGGCAGGGACTAGATAACATCGACCGATGAAAAGCTGACAGGCAAGCGACGAAAGGAATGAATCAACAAGACATCAAGCGAGGAAAGAAAACAGAAGTTCGGTCTTCATTTTTTGCCCGGCGTCTCTTATTAATACGTCCGCGGTACGCCGCCGCGAACAATCGCCAATTATAATTTCATAACTCTATTGTATGGAAATGTTATGATGCTTCAACACAGGATCGTAAACTTAGCTCGCATTGCCTTCCGCGTTGGTGCTTGGCTTTTCGGGGCGAAATTTAAGCGTCTCGCGCTCGAGACCGCTATTTTGATGATCGACTTCTCGAATCCATGGACACAGAAAAAAACTCTCACCCTCCTATATCTGTCACAAGGGTCATTAGAATATATGACTGGTAGACGTATTTCTACGCAGACGTACCATACCGCCTTGGAGTTCTGTGATTGGTTGATTTTTGAACTTCGCCGGGCATCTGAACTTACCAAGTATTTTATTGAGGAAAGTGGATTGAAATTGAGAGGAATCGTCACTCATGCTTTAGTGAGATGCTAGGGATCAGTTTTTATCAGTGGTATCAATTTCATTAAAAGGAAGAATTTGAAGCAGTGGAATTTTAGGTGGACCATTAAAAGGTGGAAGCAGGAAGGTGCGATGGCCAAAGCCGGAAGG